ACTCGAGAATATTTTTCTAATTGTTTATTAATTTTACGAGCTATATTGTCGACTTTTTTAACCTTAAAGTAAAAAATTGTTAAAGTAAATATAGATAAGGAGTAACTAAAGCTACTTTTATTTTAGGAATAGAATTAGCTAGTGATATATATTATACGGTAACGTTTATAGCCGCCGCCGTCACTCGCACTCCACACCAAGCGAATTAGTTACGGCTCAGTGACGTGTGAAGAATCAAACCGCCGTCAGTAAGCCTGCACCTGCTTAGTTAGTAGTAACGTTACAATACTGAATGCCCATATCGGTCCGACAATTTACATGCAACTTGCCCGTATCATTGTCAGTTTACTTTACGATTGTGTCGCTTGTCAAATTTGTAACTTTAATTTTGTTTTTGACGTGTTCGGTACGGGAGAAGAATAGACATTCCTTTCTCAAATTCTTTACTTACACTTCACTAGGTTATTTGAATTTTTACGGACACAAATTGACATGAATTATTTACGGTAGGTTAGCTAGTTTGTGTTGAGTATTTCTGTACTTTTATTTTTAACGGCGGTGAATAACTATGAAATTTTACTCATTCTTAGGATTCAAAGACCCGCTTTGACTAAAGATATAAGTTGGTATCTCTTGTGTATTATTTTCACTACTAAGTTCTGCATAGTAAATACATAAATGTCTCCTATGTATGTTAACCAAAGGGGTAGGTATCGACTACAAATTTTCATTTGACACGATCCCGATAAACTTTTCTAGTTTTTTTCATATTCATATATCTGGGCACCCAGTCCTGGTCCTAGTTTCACAGTTCTATCTACACAGACTACATGCTCTTCTAAATCATCTCTTTGATAAACGGTACGTTGGATTTAGTAATTTTCAATATATATTATCAATTTTAGTCAATAAACTTGCCGACTCTGCCTCTCACTTCTGCTATATGAACTTTCTTCGACATTCTGTCCTAATTTAGGTATTCTTTCTAAGCGATCCTTTCTTAATCCTAGTCATGAGGTTTTTTTTAAATTTTCACCCTATAACTCAGGGTCATCCCAAACATTAACAGTGGTAGAGCCACGCGGCAGCTTTTGCTGTCGCACGGATGGGCCGGCTCGAACCGGGGTAGTACCACGACCTCACAGAAAACCAGCGTGAAGTAGAGTTTACCTCTGCGTTTCGCTTGGTGAGTGCAGGTGGCCGGAGGCCGTTTTTACTGGAAATGGGGCATTCCATCTTGGTCCTCACGGGTGGCAACGCATCTGCATTTTGATTCGCAAACGGGGATAGATGTAGATGTCTATGGACCGCAGCAACCACTTACCATCAGGTGGACTGTGCTCGTTTATCACCCTTATCCTATAAAAAAAAAGAAAAACATACTTGCTCTGACCGTATTTCTACAGTACCTATTAATTTCATCTTATGCAACACAAAACTTTCACCGCCATACGTTAAGGAAGGGACTAACTGCAGGGATAACATTGCGACTTGCCAAACGTACCTTTTCGACACATTCAAACTGTGTCCTACGTTCACTCTTCGTTTTATATCCTTTCCAAGCATACAAAATATTTTTCACCATTTATTAATTCACTAACAAATGGCAATAATAGGTTCTATCAATATTTTTGTTTAATCTATGACAAATATTCCCCTATATATATAAAATACGTCGTTAAATACGTTTTACGTACATAAGTTGTACATGGCCATACATCCAGATCTGGAAAAATTATTTGTAGTTTGTAGAAACACTTGTTTCGTGATAGATTGAAACCTGTGACCCTCAATGACCGTTACTTTTGGTAAATTATAGCAGTAAGAGTTATATAAGCTTAGGAGGTGAGATGTAACAGAATGCGAGTAAAATGTTATTATACATTCTTGGTTTTAATTATAATCATTGATTATTGATTGATTTAATTATCTCTATACCAGCAGGGTTAGCATGGGATTGATCCCCGGGGAAAAGAGAAAATGTTTATCCCCTCGCTTAATTTTATCCACCCTTCGAGCATGGGCACACCGGTGGATATATAAGTAATATCCACAGTAGATAAAATGGGAGATAGACTTAGACTTAGACATTGGACTTAGATAGATTTTTTTTCGTATGAATATAAACTTAAACCCACGTCCAACGAACTAGGATAAAATTGTTCCTTTCAAATGTCAAAAAAGCAAAATTTTTATTGTTCGTTTGGCTACGGACGGGTGATATAATATATCTACTCGCATGTCAAACGGGAATATACTTCTCCCCGTTGCCGTGCTTTATCATAAGGACAAGATAATTTTATCTTTTGTGAGTGGATACAATCGGAAGAAAATTTTTTTGTCCCCAGCCCATGCTAACCGTGTTGGTCTCTTTTTATAGTATATATATATATATATATATATATATATATATATATATATATATATATATGTATATATATATATATATATATACATATATAAGCAACTTTACTGCCTTGTAGTTTGTCTAGGTAATTACCGCTCCCGTTCATATTTACTTTTGCAGGCTGCCTTATCCAAACCCTGAGGGAAAATAATGCATCTTCAACCTTCTTTTGAGTAAGTTGCATGTTTGCAGGGGCTACTGTGACTACTTATTACTATTAGGTGGACTTTCAGCTCATACATTGTAAAATTATATTATACTAAAATGTAATTGCAATAGACAGGTAAAAGGAAAGCCCTTTTTTTTCCTTCCTGCATCTTTGTGGTCTGGAAACCTGTAACCGAAGAGAATTCATTTACAGGACTAACAGCTTAAAGTGCTTTTAGAGGTACGGGAGTGAAACCTCCAAATTCCTGAATTCAGTCTGCTTATGAGAATTTCTCGACGAATAAACCCAATTACAGATGTTCGCCTGAGCCAGGATTTAAACCCGTAACCACATGATCAGTAGCCACGCTTAAAACCACTATACCAATTAGGTAGTCCGTCAGTCATTTAGTATGGTTTCATTCATTTACTCCCGATACCATCCACACCATCTGGATGATTGGCGGTCCACCACTGTGCGATTTAGAAGATGTTTTCTTCCTCGCACAACTTCCTTGTGGAATAGTTTACCACCAGGGATTTTTCCGGACCGATACGACTTAGGGACCTTCAAGAAAAGAGCCTACTCCTTTTTAAAAGGCCGGCAACGCATCTGCAATTCCCCTGGTGTTGCGGTTGTTCATGGGCGGCGGTAGTCACTTGCCATCAGGTGAGCCGCATGCTCGTTTGCCCCCTCTCCTATAAAAAAAAAAAAAAAAAAAATTCATTCATTACAGCCGTTCATGTGTCCACTGCTGAACATAGGCCTCCCCCAAGGAATGCCACAAAGCACGGTTCCGAGCCACTTGCACCTATCGACTTCCTGTATGATAGGTTTTTTTTAATATAGTATAGGGTGACAAACGAGCACACAGTCCACCTGATGGTAAGTGGTTACTGTGGCCCATAGACATCTACATCTACCCTCGATTAAGGATCAAAATGCAGATGCGTTGTCACCCGTGAGGACTAAGGTGGAATGCCTCTTTTCCAGTAAAAAGGGTCTCCGTTTCTCTACACTCACCATACGAAACACAGCAGTGTTAAGCTGGTATTCTGTGAGAGCGTGGTCCTTCCCCGGTCGAGCCGACCCGTTCGTGCTACAACTATAGATACTACTAATATAGCTGCAGCATGGCTCTACCACGTAAAAATGAAAAGATGCCGTTACCTTTACATCCTATTAAAATCCACTGCTGAATAAAGACCTCCCCCATAGATTCCCTCATAGAAGGGATATTTGCCATAGTTGCCACGCTTCGCAAGCGAGTTGGCAACCGCAGTTTATTTTTTATTTTTAGTCATTATTAGGAAGATGCTACTGCTCATCTCCTGATTTGTTTCCCTCTGTAAGCCTCGTAAGACACCCACAGGTTGATATAGGGTAGTGAATATTCTTACACTGCCACAACACGGTCAAAGTAATGTAAAGGTAATGAAAATAAACAAAAAAAATTAAACATTGAACACACAGTTAAACATAATTTATTCCATATTATTTAAGTATCACAGATCCATTTATTTTAAAAGTCATCACGTTAACAAAAATATATATAGTCTACGGCGGTGATGAGTCCCGTTACAAAAATCATGCTTAATTATAAGGTCATCTACTTGTAACTGCGATACAATTATTTACAATCTATTACCTTATATACATAGTTCAGATATAGAAATTGATCTAAAGATTTTCTTAGAGAACATCGTGAAATTTTAGGAGACAATTTTTTAGGGTAAGTGGTAGTTCTATTACATTTATATTCTTGGCAGTATTTTAGTGTTACACGTTGCTATATTAGGCTATTGTATATTTATCTGTAAGAAGGAATTTTTTTTTATCTTATTTTATAAATAGAATAGTAAATGCATTAGGCTCAAGTCTTTTTATAAACAATGTGAAATGAGAAACGCGTAAATATTTCTTTTACAATAAGCTCGGAACAGTTGCATACAACTTAATTTAAAATATTATCGCCATCCTATTCTCTGGCATTAAAGAATTTGGCACGTAGATCTAAATTTTTGACATACATAAACGAACGAATTGCTCAAGCGAAATAAACATGAACTAAGCGATACATTTCGATTACAGAAAACACTCTAACACTTATAAAAATTAACAAAATAACCTTCTGTTAACCAACAACCGTAAGGTTGGTATTATTTCTTTAAAAGACATTAGGCACTATTATTGCTACTATAATATAATTTATTTCTTCCATCGCTTATCTACAGCATAAGTATTCTATACAAAATATTCTACCACGATTTTACAAAGTTAGACCGCTGGCCTAAGAAACTATTTCTTTCTCTAACAAAACATTTAAACTACGCATAACTTTACCAACAAAACATCCTTAAAATGTCTATGTAAACATGTCTATTGAATAGACTTCATTAATAGTTCTTAAACTTCATTTACAAAAGCGTGTGCGAGGCATTGAGTTCATAACCAAGAGGGCCGGCCTTGTAGTAAATCGGCGGCATCATGTCGATCCATCTGACGTAATGCGGCCGCTAAGGAAGCGGTAGCTCCCGGGCCGCGTTCCCTACACTCCCATAACTCTAAGATAGCCTCGGTGGGCGAGCTCTTTGTGGCGAACCACGTTGTATAACGGTCTACACCGAGCCTCGACGCAAGTGCACGCCAGTCGTTACCGCGGGCATTCGGCGGGTCTAATATAGCGCATAGTTGCCTCTTTACTCGAGCACTTAGCTTAAAAGGTCCTTCACCCGTGCATTCATTGATTCCCGCTTCGCTGACTGTGACGTTTCTTTTAGCACTTCCCTCACTTCCTTCGTCGCTTCGACACATTCTAGCTTCTATTAAATTTTCAGTTATGTTGAAACTACGCTGAGACTCTGCACGTGGAGACCTGCCACGTGGCGAACGGCTGCGTATATCTTCTAAGGATATTCTGAAAGTTTGTTTGTATGATGGATTGGTCCTTTGACAGGCCGAAATACTGAAGTCAATGGTATCGCAATCATGAGTCCTTTCTAGAACAAAACTGCAATGTAGCGCGTTGTAGTTCGAACTCCAGACATGACTAAATGGTATCTCCTGATAACCTAATCCTGGTTTTGTTTTCCATCCTGGACTTACGTGCTCCAAGTTTAAACAAAGATTAGAGCCTCCATCTTGAAATAGAAGAGTTTTCGGTCGATCGATTAAAACACCTCCCAGCTTCTTTTCTTGCTCCTGACAATAATACGGCGCACACGGTGTGTCTTCAAAAATGTATAGTCGTATGTTATACTCCAGAGAAGCCTCATTAGGTACAGCTGGTGCATATATTGCCAGCTGGAGTGCCTTTACAGCTTTACCATTGAAACTCTCCCCGATCAGAACAAAAGTAGATAAAATATCCGTCACTAAAAATATCTTCTCATTGTCCAGTTGAGTAAACACTGGGGTATTAATGGTCTCCTGACCAAGACTGACCACTTTCTTCCATTGCGGTTGCGGGTTGTCTGACTTGGAGTTATTGTGATCAATGGCGTATAAGGAAAGATTCCAGAAGCCATGTTTTAGACTAGCGCAGTGTGGGATTTGGAGCACAACTGACTTGTTTAGCTGAAGGCGCGGCGGTCCACATTTAACTACAGGGCTCAATTGCGTGATGCCTGCGGATATAAAATCTTATTAATAGATGAAACCACAGAGTATGTTTAAATGTAGCCCCGGACCGGAATGCTACTTTGCATAAATTACACCTCTCTGATTTGCCGTATAATTAAGCTGTTCCACACGTTGCTGTAAGACTTTTATTTAAATTGAACACGTATACTCGTTCATATGATTTGATTGAAACGGTTATAAACGAAAAACACGCATAATTTGCGACGTTCGTGATTGAAACTTTCGCTTTCGGGCAAAATGACTCACGAAATGAATGGCTTTAATTTAAAAATTAAACATGCAACGATAAGGAACATGTTTTGTGAAAAGTAAAATAAAACTTTAATGATAATTTATTTTAAATCAATTGACACTCAGTAAGATAAATATAATAAAATAAAATAAAAAAAATATTAGCGTAGTATAAATTATGATTACCTTTTCCCAATCGAAATCTATATCGGTCATCCTTGACTACAGCCACATACATTTGTTCCCTTCGGCACCTACTAAGTGCCCCTTCAGGGATAGATAGAGCGACCCCAGCCGCTGGCAAGGCCAACCTTGCACCGGCGCTAGTTACAGAGAGAGATTGCGACGTAGGTGAGTTCGAGACGAGTTCTGCTAGTTGGAGCGTAACGGATTCGTTCGCCGCGTCGTACATAGAGCCGGCTGGAACAAAAGTTTTGATTAGTTGCAAAGCCAATTTGAAACTCGTAGCGGTGCATTTCAAACGAATAATTATCATGGACTAGCGGCTTCTGTAAAAAAAATATATAGTTCGAATTCAAATGTTCTAAATTATCGTCAGACCACATATTCCTTTTTACCAAAATTAAGACTAAACTTGTATGCTATTTCTTAGTTATTACATACTACATATATTAATATACTTTCATAATTTTTTAAAAGAGAAATTAAATATTGTCAAGTTGATATTTGAAAATAAAAGCTCTAAAAATATAAATTATGATGCTAATTATTAATTAAAAATAGTTTTGCTACATTAATGTTTGAAAAAATATACAATAAAACCTTCTTTTTATAGTAGTGCAAACCACTTACAACTGGTGAAACAACTGGAAACAGAATGTTCAGATTCGCTGTAGGGCTTGCTGTCATACTCGTCACTTTGTCCTTTGCTAGACGCGCACGGTGTTACTTGATGGTCGACTGGAGATGCGTAACTGTGGAAAAACCCTATAGTTAAACATTTAAAACATGTAGCTGTCGACAATGGTCGATTATTATATTATGTATAGATAATATTATCATATATAGATAGTATAGTTTCATGTGTACATTACGTGGTAGAGCCACACTGGAGCTATATATGGCTGCGACTTGACCCGGGTAGGACCAAGCTCTCGCAGATTACCAGCGTAAAACAGCAGTTTAATGCTGCTGTGTTTTATATAGTGCGTGTAAAGGACCGGATACCCTTTTTACTGGTAACGAGGCACTTCATCTTGGTTTTCAAACTTACGACGTGTCTGCATTTTGATTCTAAATCGAGGATAGATGTAAATGTATACCATCAGGTGTATGCGTAAATCTACGTACCACCTTTATTCTTTAAAAAATCACAGTTTGATAAAGCCTGCTGAGCTCACCGATGATGCAGAAAGATGTAGTATATTGTGTTTTAATCATATGGCATAAATATAAAAAATTAATTCTCTCATATTAGCATAAATATTTTTGAGGTTGAATACTTCTCCTCTCATTTATGAGAGAGTTATGGAGCTGTTAGTCCATCCATTACAACCTATAAAGAGCCACTGCTGAACATCCCCCATAGATTGCATCATAGGGCTTGTTTCCATAGTTGCCATGTTTGGCAATTTCCCTCTGTGGCCTCTTACGACACGGGACGATATGGCGTAGTGTTCCTCCACTTACACCTCCACTACACGGTAAAATTAGTTGATCGCGCTAAATAATTTATTCCTCAAACATGCAGGTTTCCTCACAATGGTTTTCCGTATCGTCGAGCACGTGGGAAATCTGTACCTTATATTACAATTAATAATTTCATTGGTGCCGGTGGGAATCAAACTCACATTGGAAGCGTACGGTGAATTTTTTAGCGGGCGCTTAGCTTACGAGCTACCACAGTTCTTACCAAAATATGTATAACCCTGTTGGCGCGGTAAATAAAAATATTATACAAACACCGTATACAGAAAGATTATCAATTTCTCAATCTCTTTTATAATCAATACTTCTTTTTCGCTTTATTGATCATAGAACCAACGGCACGTTATAAATATATACAGAAATTCTTAAAAAAAAAACGTATTGTTAATAACAGGTTCATGCTTTATATACATATAAATACTTTCGCTTGGTATAGTGAACAAATTAATTATATAGTGCCTAGATATTTACATATTATCTTAAAAATAAGTAATATGAAAAGAGAGGTAAAAATTTGAGATGGAAAAATAAAGACAATAATATTATTACTGAAATTAAACATTTAGTACGTACAAACCACAGGGTTATTGAGCGTGATTCCTCTAATATTACCGCTAATATTTTTAAAAATACCACAAATAAAAAAATACACACATATTTATTAATTAGTAGATTTTTTTTTAAAACGTTACCCCCACACTAGGATTTTCTCCTGTGTCTTGGAGGCAGTTTACAAACATAAATTGCACAAGGACAAACATCCAGACCCGGAACAATTATTTGTAGGCCATACAAATACTTGTTCCGTGCGGGATTCGAACCCGCGGCCCCCAGCGCAACAACTGATTGCTAAGCAACTGCGCCACGGAGCCGTCAATACAATATTTACATCATTTATTAATACTGGCATTGTAACAGCAATGATCGCATACAGTGTTTCAATTGTGACAGACATCGGTTTTAATGTGGTATAAATATTAAAAGCTTCTGACATACATAATATGAAATACGTGTACATACAGTGTACATTTGTGAACAAAAATCCATTTTAAAAATTATATATTTTGGAAATTATTAGCATTAATTTAAAGTGCATGTGGTCAACGGTCAACAAAAAAAAAATGTAGAAAGAATATTTAGAGAACATGTACGCTTCATGAATGAAAGTCTTATTTTTGATTCCAGTAAATAATTTAAAAAATGCTCGTATTATATAATTGCAATTAGCATAATACCAATTTTAAAGTCTTTATGAACAAAAAAATTAATAAATCCATATAAATATAACTCTAAACCTTGTTACTATTGTGGCGGCGCTGCCGTCGCGCCACAAGCGAATCACATCGAAGCCTAAATCGCGCTAACAAAGTTCCGAAATTAAAGCAATACATATATATAGAATAGCTCCGAACTACCAATCGGAGCTGCACAGGGGACCACGGCACTAAGGAGTGCACCCGTGGCGCTTCGGCCCCCCCGAGCTGTGTGTTATGCGGGGCGGTTGGACACACTGCGAACTTCCGCAATTGTCCAAAAGCCCCCAAGGCACAAAAGCCGAGGGGAAGAAACGCCGGGGGTCGCAAGCAGCCCCCCAAGCAGAAGGGAGCACAGGACCCCCCCAAAAAGGGTGGTCCCTCTCCCCCTGCCTTCGTTCCGGCTCCGGCTCCCAAGCAAAGTGCTTGGGCCAAGCCGCTAAGCCTGGCCAGTGGTGCACAAAAGAGGGTGCCCACCTCTCTTCCTGCTCCCACTCCCGCGTGCGCACCGGCACCTTCAGTCGCCCGTGCCCCGCGAAAGGAGCCAACGCCCAAAGTGGTGACCAAATCGACCCACTCCCCGGCCATGGAGGAGTTAGCTGAGGATGTCAACCTTGTCTGCGACTTCGTAGACAGTTTTGACGTAAATGAATTGCGTACTCTAGCGCATAAGATTAGGACGGCGCGCTCTGCTAAAGAGCGCCTCCAGGCCTCCCTGGACCACATGGAGGTAATAGAGGCGATAAAGAACTTCAGGGCCAATTAGGTCCGAAGTTCTTGCCTACTGTTAATTTGGCTCGGTTTTATTCTTCTAAATGGATAATACAACTACAGCTAGAATAAAACCTAGATCGATAGCTGTCGCCTTCTTCAATGCGCACGGCCTTAAAAATCAAATTGACGAAGTCAGAACCTTCCTCACTGATCATCAGATTGATATATTGCTAGTGCAAGAGACTTTTCTTAAGCCTAGCATTAAAGACCCAAAAATAGCCAATTACAGAGTAATTAGAAACGATCGTATAGGGAATAGATTAGGAGGGACTCTTATTTATTATAGGTCGTCCCTACATGTAGTTCCCATAGACACGCCTCAATTAACTGATCTAGAGGCCTCCGTTTGCAGAGTAGCCATGACCGGTCATCAACCGATCACGGTAGCCTCTGTATATCTCTCTCCCAATAAAAAGATAGTAAAGAGCGATTTTGAAGCTCTATTTAACCTTAGTAATTCGGTCATATTAGCAGGCGATTTTAATAGCAAACATCAAGTCTGGACTAATAATAGGAAAGTTAAGGACAACCTCAACGGCTATGACTTATTTGCACTTAGTGATAGCCTAGAGTTCAATATAATAGCTCCTCCGGAGGACACTAGTTTTTCAACGAATAGAACTCATAATCCGTCTAAAATCGACTTAGCACTACTCAGGAATGTAACCTTAACGTTACGCTCCATAGAAGTGGTGCATGAGTTAACTTCGGACCACCGTCCGGTTATAATGTCGTTAGGACAGTCCAGCAATGAGGTTCTTACAACCAAAACTGTTACGGACTGGCATAGGTTCGAGGCCAACCTCGAAACTATGAACACAGAATATTTAGATCAAGTGCCAGACGCTATAGACACTAAAGAAGTGGCCTTAGAAGCCATCTCTCACATCTCCTCTCACATAAAGGTGGTTGCCGAGGAATCCTCGAGGCGGCTCAAGGCGTCGAACGATCGTCGTTTTGAGCTCCCAGGGGATGTACGGCGATTACTGAGAGAGAAAAACGCTGCGGTGAGGGCCTATGATCGTTATAGAACAGACAATAATAGGTCCAATCTGCGCCGCCTCTGTAGAGAGGTCAAGGAGCGCATGGCCCAGCTGAGGGAGTCACGATGGGACAATCTGATGGAAGATATCTCGCCCTCGCATACAGCCTTCTGGAAGCTGGCGAGATCTCTTAAATCAGAAAATGTCGTTTCGATGCCCCCATTAGTTAGATCTGATGGTCAGTTAGCGTTCGACGACTCGGAGAAGGCCGAGTGCATGGCGGATAGCATCGAGAGCCAATGCTCTCCAAGCACCTTGCCAATCGACCCCGTCCACCTGAACAAGGTGGACGAGGAAGCGGCCAATTTGTCCGCCACCCCACCAACGGATGATCCACTCCCTCCCGTTACTTTTGATGAGGTGAAAACCATCATCAAAAATCTCAAACCTCGAAAAGCGCCAGGCGCCGACGGTATAAATAACAAAGTGTTTAAAGCTCTTCCCCCAAAATTGATCTGCCTTCTAGTGGCTATTTTCAATGTTCTATTGTCCACCTGCACCTTCCCACAAGTGTGGAAAGAAGCAGAAGTAATCGGTATTCACAAACCGAACAAACCTAGAGACAGAGCTTCTAACTATAGACCTATCGGTCTCCTCAGTGCCATGGGGAAAATCTATGAGCGCATCATCCTCAGCCGTCTGAAGGATGCAGTGTTAAGTAAGAACCTAATTCCAAACGAGCAGTTTGGCTTTCGAGCCAAACACCCAAGTGTTCAACAGGTGCACCGCCTCACGGAGCACATTTTAGATCAGGATGCAAGGGCGAACAGGCGCCCTGTTTACACAGGAGCACTGTTCTTCGATGTGGCCAAGGCCTTCGACAAAGTCTGGCACAATGGACTAGTTTTCAAACTTATCCATACAGGGGTGCCCTTAAGACTTGTCAAAATCGTTCAAGATTTTCTTACAAATAGATCCTTCCGTTTTCGCGTGGAGGGTACATTCTCCTCTTCCAGATCAATCAGAGCAGGAGTTCCCCAGGGCTCGGTACTCTCTCCGACCCTGTACTCACTTTACACAAGTGACATCCCTTCGATAGTAGGTACTCATCTCGCACTATACGCGGATGATACTACCATCTACTCTTCAGACTTCCATCCCATTACAATCTGCAGTCGACTCCAAGCTGCAGCAAACGCACTAGGAGATTGGTGCAGAAAATGGAGAATCGAACTGAATCCCGATAAGAGCAAAGCCATCTTCTTCAACAGAAGGCGTTATTATAACAACTTACTGTTAAAGATTAAAAAATATAAAACAGGTACGATCTCCCTCTACGGCAACCCAATACCGTGGGTCCGAGAGGTAAAATACCTGGGGGTAACCTTAGATTGTGCAATGAGCTTCTCTCAGCACATCAAAACAGTCAGAAATAAGGCAAAATTCGTTGTGTATCGTCTTTTTGCCTTAACCAACAAACGCAGTAAGCTGTCCCTAAGACAGAAACTGCATCTGTACAAAACCTGCGTACGTCCTATTATGACATACGCAGGTGTGTCCTTTGCGCATGCCAATAAAACGAGCCTAAAACAACTTCAAGTTGTTCAAAACAAATTCCTGCGTCAGATCACAGGAGCTCCCTTCTATGTGAGGAACGCGGATCTTCACCGCGACCTCGATATGCCCACAATTCATACGTATCTTAAGGAACTATCCTTAAGATACTTCGAGTCGATTAAAGAACACGAAAATCCGTTGGTGAATGAGGCGGGCGCGTACTCCCCACTGAGGGATGTTGCCCCCCGCAGGAGACGTCCCAAGAACGTTCTTCTTGATCCCGATGACGAGATCACTTCCTTAAATAGGTCGATCTCGCCCCCCCCCTCCACAGATGAGGGAATTAGATTAGTAAATATAAACACTAACACACACACAGACACTACTCTAGTACAGAACACTAGGGCACACCGCAATCGCCGGCGAATGCGACGTCACAGACACACTCCGTACACGAGGTTTAACACCCGTGATACGGGGCGTTTCTAACTTTTGCGACTCGTTAATAAAATTGCGATAGCGATTCAAGCCGAGGTTCGTACCTCCTTCTGAGGGGCCCTTGAATCGCATCGAGCCCCCCCCCCTAGCTCGAGGAGCCTCACTCCGAAAGCAGGGGTCGGGGTGCCTCGGGACTGCTGTCGGCGAAGCGGCGCTTCGCGCCGCCTCGCCGACGGCAGAATCGTTGCACTCAATAGTTCGTAAGTACTCACTTACGAACCTAATTAGACGAAGCTGTCAAGGCCGCAGGGCCAACAGCATACACATTCAGAAAAAAAAAAAAACCAATCGGAGCGTTGGCCGCTCCCAGGACAGAACACCTTGCTCGGCGGGAGATCTCCCCTTTTCCTTCCACCCGCCACAGTGGTGACCCCGACGTGATATGAACACGCAACCAAAACAACCTTCGGAAACTACAACTTCAAAACCTTCGTCATCGTCCTCAAGTACCCCATTCATTCGCTCCTGAACAGATATTGTCTGCAGCCTTCACATTCTGCAAGCCATCTAGCTTTACAAAGGTTCATCGCAGCACTGGAATAATAATGCTTCCTGTTCTGAGCAGGGGGGTGATGTGGCGGCGCTGCCGTCTCGCCAAAAGCGAATCACATCGAAGCCTAAATCACGCTAACAAAGTTCCGAAATTAAAGCTATATATATAGAATAGCTCCGAACTACCACTCGGAGCGTTGTCCGCTCCCCGGGCAGAACACCATGCCCGGTGGAAGATCTCCCCTTTTCCTTCCATCCGCTACAATATTATTATGAACTTAGGGGGGCGATAAAAGTTGCTGGTTTGTTCCAGTGCGTTAAATATAAAAGTATTTTTTATGGACTATAGTAAATGATTGTTCCAGATATTGATCTATGAGCAAATAATGTATTATCCACGTTGAGTACGTTTTAAATAGTTAAAAAATGCTTATGTTTACTTATAATAATGTTTGGAACTCAAGGTGTATCTAGACTGCCACATGTACTTAAGAACATAGTAGAAACAGTAACAGTGCTTGTGGGGAAAGGTTCTCTCGTTTTTTTTTTTTTTATTACGGAACGTGCTTCAGTTATCAACAATTTAATTGTATTATTTGTGTCGTATAAATAAAACTATTGCATTTAAGTGTAGAAATTACAAAAGAGAACATCTAAAGAGTTCCTTTCGCCTTTTCTTCTCAGGTCAGAAGACGTTCGCTCAGTTAGGTTAGATTTTAAATTGACGAAAATTTAATTTCTTGATAACACAATTGCTATATTAATTCTTCTTCTTTATTAGAAAAAATAAAGATAAATCACTACATTTCACTTTCTGCCTAACTAAAACCATCCATGTTTTGAAGCATTGTGTAGTTAAATATAAGATTGTTGTCACACCTGCCTAGTAAATTAGTGCTTAAGTTAATATTAGAACAACGTAAATTTTGTCTTATTTTCCAGTAGATAAAAGTTTAACGGACGATATTGATCTTAATATTGGATGATCTCATCGTATTACTAACCTGTTAGTGAGATGCGGGACATCATAATGGTGCTCTGCTCTTGAATCAGGTTGCGGATGCTCATATCTTGGGGGTCGATGTTGCATTAGATCTGGTGCCAATGAAAGTGACTGCTTTTCTACCGTTGGATACATTTCTGGTTGAAAATCTGCACAAACAACTTTTATATTAAAAAAAAAATTAGTAAAAAATTAAAAAGCGAATTAAAATTAAAAACGATAATATCGTAACATTAGTTTTATTCAAGACTAGCAAACCACCCCGGCTTTGCCTGAATAGGATCTAAAGTAAAGTTGTATGAGTGTAAGTTACTGGATAAATGCATGTCTGTGAGTATGTCTTATCAATTTTACGTTTTTACAAAAACAATCATCAAATTTTTGCATAATATATAGCCTAAATACCTCTTGGGTTTGCTCTATATGTGTTCGTAAAGTTTAATCACAATCGGTTCAACCATTCCGAAGATTAGCCCAGACAGACAGACAGACACACAGTAAAAATGTAGAAAATGGTTTTTTTTATAGGATAAGGGTGACAAACGAGCATACGGTCCACCTGATGATAAGTGGTTGCTGCGGCCCATAGACATCTACATTTATCCTCTGTTACAAATCAAAATGTAGATGCGTTGTCACCCGTGAGGACTAAGATGGAATGCCTCATTTCCAGTAAAAAGGGCCTATTAAGATATATATAAGATAATAGCGTTATTTTATACGCGGTAGAGCCATGCTGCAGCTATATTAGTAGTATAGTTGTAGCACGAATGGGTCGGCTCGACCGGGGAAGGACCACGCTCTCACAGAATACCAGCGTAAAATAGCATCTTAACACTGCTGTGTTTCGTATGGTGAGTGTAGAGAACCGGAGAACCTTTTTACTGGAAAAGAGTCATTCCATCTTAGTCCTCACGGGTGACAACGCATCTGCATTTTGATTCGCAAACGAGGATAGATGTAGATGTCTATGGGCCACAGCAACCACTTACCATCAGGTGGACTGTGTGCTCGTTTGTCACCCTATCCTATTAAAAAAAGCAGGCAAATATTCCCTTGAGCTTAATAAAGGTCAGTTATTTCAATATTACAGGCAGACAAATGAATTATATTTATATACATGTAAGTATAGACGCATCAATTTCTAAATTACATTTGCAAAGTCATTATGAAAGCTATATTAATTTAATGCTTTGCTAAACTTCATTCTTAATTACACCTGTTTATTATAAAGTGCTTCTTGCCAATTACTACGATAACTTTACAATTGGTTATCATTAAAATTATGCTCGTATCGATCGATTGGTACCACAGCGAATTGGATTATTTGTACTGATACTGTTCGAATTAAATTATCTGCTCATGCAAATTGTGGGAGATAAGTTCGCTAACGGGGAAATTAACGAATATCGAAACTTTAAATTGATATAACTTTTCGTATTTTTTTTTATTCAACCTTAGAACTGAAATTTAGTACCCTTAATTATTTTAGAAGGCATTATGCAACGAAAAGATTAACAAATGTCCAAACTTTAAATTAATACAACTTTTAGTAAAATATTTTTGTATTCAGCCTCAAAAATGAAATTATTAAAATAAAATTTAGCTCCATTAATTATTCTAGAGGTATAATACAACCAAAATAATTAAATAATACATCAAAATTTATATTCAATCGTTGATTATTTCTATAACAAAATACACTCCTCCCTTTTATTTACCCAAAAAAAACTTTTTATATTATTCTAAGACAGCGCTTAACTACAATCCCACCTGATGGTAAGTGGTGATGTAGCCTAAAATGGTGAAGCGAATTGAGTTAACAAAAGCCAGTGGAAAACCGAAAGGCTGGCTACTTTGCGCCTGAGTTCGAGACTGGTAAAATTGGTTTTAATCAAATTCGGGTCACTAATAAGCCTCCTAGCACGCCTTTCCATTGAGTCCACAGCTGCTAGGTAGTATTTTGCAGCACCAGCCCATATATGGCAGCAATATTGTTGGTTTACCCAAAGAAATACATGGATTAAGAGTCTATATATATGCAAGTCAACATACCTGTTCTAGTCATAGTGTAGAGTGAATGATCTCTCGTCTTTCTTTGAAGAAGCTTATAGACGACGGCTGCTCCAGATAGAAAAACGACGACTGCGACGGCTATGCCGATGTACAATGGAATGTCACTGTGTGCGGAAACTGTGAAAGAGAACTCGTAATTAAAATTTTGTATAGCTTATCGAACGGATTAATAAGCTGAAGTAGTAATAGGCCGGCCATATAGCTCGAAGAACCGACAACCCATGACGAAGAAAGGTTCTCGAGTGGCAGCTCCGTACCGGCAGTTGAAGTGTAGAACGACCCCCACTAGATGGAGTGACGACTTGGTAAGACATGCAGGAAGTCAATGGATACAGGTGGCTCGGGACCGTGCTTTGTGACCGAGGCCTGTGTTCAGTAGTAGATTTTTCATAGGCTTTAACGGTAACGGTAATAACAGGTCATGCGGCATTGCCATCTTAGTCGTCAGACGTGTCAATGGATCTGTAACCTTCTTTATTTGAAGATGGTTATAGATTTGAAGTATGATGTGTTGGTAATAGCTACTTAACATCAGATGGACTATGACTTCATTACTCACTTAAATTTAAAAACAAAACAACCTTTCTATCGTTTTTTAAAATATTAGTAATCTTTTTTTATATAGAATAAGGGTGACAAATGGGCACACAGTCCACCTGAAGGTAAGTGATTACTGTGGCCCATAGACATCCACATCTATCGTATGCGAATTAAAATGCAGATGCGTTGCCAGCGGTGAGAACTAAGATATGCCTCTTTTCCAGTAAAATGGGTCTCCGGTTATCTACACTCACCATACGAAACACAGCAGCATTAAGCTACTATTTTACGCTGGTGTTCTGTGAGAGCGTGGTCCTTCCCCGGTCGAGCCGACCCATTCGTGCTACAACTATACTATTAATATAGCTGCAACATTTCTAATATTTCCTTTAACCACTTCTGGTAAGCTTAAAATGATTGTGTTAGAAGTGGTTCACGACAGTAGTCGAATGGCGGATTCGAACCGACGACCTTTCGAGTTCGCGGTCCGCGCCCTGCCATTAGGCTACTGACGCTTCATTAACAAACTTAGATTCATTCTCATCATCATAATGAACAGCAAGCAAATGGTGTAAGTACTAGACTTCTTGGTTATTTTTGTATACGTGGTATAGTTTGTATATGTCCAAGAAGTTCTTTCATGTTTGGTCACACTGATTCTCGCCACTTTTCTGGATATTTAGGTCTCTGATTTATAAAAATCGTTACCGTTACCATTATAGCTATTAAGTCCACTACTGAACATAGGCCTCCTCCATTGATAGCCTCATAGGAGGGATATTTGCAATTGTTGCCATGCTTAGAAAACGTATTGGCAACCGTATTTTTTTTTATTTTAGTACTTTTAGTAGTTACTTGGGAAGACGTACACAGACACGATACTAAAGAGTATTTCTTATTCATGGCGATTTTTTTCCAACAGACAATTAAATATTATGTACACAAATTTCCTCCAACTAAAATTTCTCTTTCTTGATTTTACGCTGTTAAATAAAAGCTGACGTTCTATTTCAGCGTTAGTTCACTAGCTTGTCTTAAGAAAAATGTAGTTTTTTGCTGGGCAAAAGCCTTTCAGAGCCAACAAAGCCAAATAAATTGCAAGTCGACTCCACGGAAGTTTCTCAAAGATTTTTAACACGAGAAATGTAGCAGCAAAACTAAAGTTTGTTAAAAAAAAGAGGCAGTGAATTATGACAAAACACATTGTCGAAAACTATAAAACGAACCGCATAATTGCGCTACACCTAGGGTTACCATATCTCAGGATTTGTTCTGAGATTTCAGGATTTTTAGACTCTTCTCAGGATTGCGGCTGGATTTTGCAAATCTCATGAAATCTCAGGATTTGTAGAACTTTCAATATAATACAGCTTACATTTTAAAGATCTCTTTAATAAAAAGTTAAACAAACTAAAAATAATTTTCCTTTGGTAATAATTCCTCAATTAAAATCAAAACTTATTTATCCAAGTAGGTACTTAAACAGTTTTATCATACTTAATATGTGAAGATACCTTTTTAAGTAAGGTTTTCTTCTCAAACTGTAAAAAAATCTCAGGATTTTTAAGTGGAAATCAGGCCTCTTCTCCGGACTTTTAATTTTTTCATCTGGTAACCCTAGCTACACCTGTGTATGATAAGCTTTTAACAGTTTTACGAGTTGGACTATAAAATTTGAAATAGTCTTCGGCAAGAATAGTGATTATATTTATTGAATTTGATTGATCTTATAAACATTAGCCTTAAGGTACATATTTGGATGAAATGTTTATTTTTGGGTGAAAGCTTTAATATTGTTTTTGTTATACAAATGAAACGAGCATCGAGTTTCTGGCAGCGGGCCTTAATATTATTTATGTCATCGCGTTCCCGAGTTTACGATTGGTCCCGTAGCGCATTTTAACGAGCGGTTTTTTGTGTAATTTGTTGTTTCCAAAGGACTCAAATTTAGGCAACCCGTTTTTATTGAACAACATCAAAGGCATTCAGGACTTCACAGCTCGTCTGTTGAACTATTTTGATGTAAAATTATGTACATAATTCTTAGGTTATGATGGACATATCTTCTTGGCCCATTTTTGATCACGGCAATAACTTCGAAATTATACTCAGAAGTTGCCAATGCCAACTATACAGGAATTGTCATAGCACTGTTAATGTATGTGCTACTAAAATTGACTTAGACTTATTCAACCAGTGTACCAGAGCCCAAGATACAGGGATAATTACAACAGCTAGATCCAAAATCTAAAATTTACTTTAACTACTTTAGATCATAATTCATTCATTAATTCAAGAGCTGTATGTTTGTTCAAAAGGTTAACTTAAAAAAATAGAATTGTATCTCATCAGTTGCATTTTGTGCAAATAAAAGTTATATTGAGTTTATTTTGGTTTTAGATTTTATAAATTGAGTGTTGGAATCCTCGGCTTAAAAGACATAAAATCGAATAACAATAAAAATTTCCTGATATTAATTTCGGTGTACCCTCCCTCGGTCTCCATTATCATTAACGTATAACCGAAAAAACGAAAAAAATCTCCAGCATCTCAATGAAGTCATCGTTCGCTCGATACGAGTATACCGATAACGATCGTGGTCGTTGTAAGCGTAATTAAACAGAGCTGAGGCGACGGACTGCCTCTACTTCGTATCTATACATAGCATTCATTTAATAATGTTGACTGATACAAATTACATAGTTCAATACAGAACTATTAAAAACAAACTAGTGGTCGTCCAGTGACCGAAAAACGACCGTAATCCATTAAATTTTTAAGTCTGTAAATTAAACATCTATATTTTACTTTCAACTTTCATGTGTATTGTCTATGCTTTCAAATACACAATAATTTAAAAAACACAGATGTGATATCTGTATCTATCAGAATATATCTAATTTACACAAAATATACAATAGGCGCTTTTTTCTCTTGACATACGGTCCGCAAACGATTGAAAAATAAACATTAGAAATCACACAAACTTCACAGCTCATTCAGTTAATCTGTCAGTAATTATTATCTTGGCAACGTTTTAAAATTTTTTGCTGACAATCTCTACTCCGTGCAACTGTTTGACCACAAACAGACTATTATGTGTTTGACATTGACAGTATGGTCATAAACAATGTTTAATTTAATGTAATGTTTAATTTTTATACATATCTTTATATAAAGATATGTGTAAAAATTACGTGTCACATTGTTTGTCCGCGACGAACTCCTAAACTACTGAACTGTTTTAATAAAATTTTGCACACTGTATAGGATAGTTTTTATGCGGATAAGTAACCCTCAAAATTTTTTATTGCGAATTTACGGATTTTTTATAGGACAAAGGGTCGTCGGAAAGGGCAGAACAACGTTTGCCTGGCCAGCTAGTTATATATAAATTTTAGCTCCTCCTATATCAAAATTAACCCCAATCTTAAACTCCTCCGTGTCCGTCGGAATGTGCTTAAAATGGGGAACAGAGTATGCTTCACGTATTAATATATAGATAGATAAATAGGATTAATCGATTATTAAGCTGAAGTGGAAATGAACCGGCCATATAGCTTGAAGAACCGACAACCAATGGGGAAAGAAGGTTCTTAAGTCTCAGCCTCGTACCGGCAGGCGAAGTTTAGGGCGTCCCCCCGCTAGATGGAGTGACGTCCTGGTAAGACATGCAGGAAGTTGGTGGATGCAGGCGGCTCAGGACCGCGCTTTGTGGTATTCTTTGGGGGAGGCCTATGTTCTACAGTGGACTTGTGAATGACTATAATAAAATAGGATTATTATTCGATAGTGCTCATATGGCTAACATCAAAAGAAGTCCCGTTCATATATCACAGGATGGTATATCCATAAATCGAAAGCCTTAAGATTTTCCTGACATTTCCTATAGTCGCGTCTTACGACACCCACGAAACGAAATAGGATCATGAATTCTGTTACACTGTTACTAGACCACAGCCTGTTTTCTGCCGACTTCCAAAAAGGAGACGGTACTCAATTCGACTGTATGTTTTTTTTTATGTGTGTTACCTCATAACTTTTTACTGGGTGGACCGTTTCGATGATTCTTTTTTTATTTGAAAGCTGGTACTTTTCGTGTGGTCCCATATGAATTTGATCAAGGTCAGACCAATAGTTTTTGAGTTATTCTTAATAACTTATATTGAAATCGGCAGTACAAATTTTTTAATTTTAAATTATGTAAATGTATGTAACTGCCATATAATTTCAAAAAAGCTACCCCGATATTAGTATTTTCTCCCGTATCTAATTGAACACGAATCAGTGGATATTGTATCTGACAAGCAACATTATCTACGTAAATACAGTATGTATGAGTAGAATGTTAAGTGATAGTGACTGTGCACGTAAGTAGGAAAATCTTTTATCTTGAGTATGCGCTGCAGTAGAGAATGAAATGGAAACCTTTTTTACATTCTCATTTTAAAACTCAGTGTTTTTATTTGTTGAAGTAAAACGCAAGCACATTTCAATAAATACATTACATAAGTTACCTACATTTTGAACTTCTTTTCAAAATGTAATATACCAATTTTATTTAGTTATCACTAAAA